TTTATGCTATGCTCAGTGTGTGATTTGTTCTAGAAAAATCTACAGTTTAGTGGCCCTGCAGTCAAAAACAGTCAGCCGAGCTCAGAGAAGTGGACTTTAACCTTTGACTGGCAGTGTACCGGTCTGGTTACTCAGTAGCAAAATTCTCCATCTGTCTTATGTATTTTTTATCATTTTTAACAATCATACAGGCTGTTTGTTTTTAAGAAATCTGTGTTTTCTTGCCCCTGACACTTGGCTATTGTTCTGTTAGTTTACTTTACAAGTGAACCAAGTTAAGTAAGTTAAGTTTTCTAGCATGCCTTAAAATCAAGAAGGCCTCGTGACCGCTTATGAAGCTTTGGCAACCCCTAACTGGGGGTCCCGACAAACTCCTGGAAAATATCCTGGAAAACAGTTTATCAAAAAGAGTGGAAACCTTGTCTCAACTTAGCATCTTAGGCCCACACTTTGTCCCCCACGTGCTCCTAAATCAAAAAGATTAAAGGATGCAGAAGTTGAATTTGTGCATGAGAAGAAAGCAAATAATCTGATGTCCCTTGTGTTGTTGTGGTAGACCTCAGTAATGTGAGGGGGGAAAGAGAGATTAAATGCTGGTTATCCAATCAGCATTTCCCCTTACTACGGTGCATGTGTCTTTGATTTAGAGCCACAGCATCAACCACCATCCACACACACACACACACACACACAACTCTGGGGAGGCTGCTACTTAACTTCACATGAAATCCAGGGATTTATTTTGTCCTCGTCACTGCGAGCACATTATCAGAAACATATTATGTGTGTAGGAGGAGGGGGTTAGGCCATGTGTTAGGCAACATTGACCGAGGCTGCAGATTGCTTATTGATGCATAGATACAAGTTGTCAACAGGTTATACTACAATGTCACACATAATCAATACATAAAGTTGTATCTGTTTGTATTTGGCGCAGTGTTTTTCTCATTTGCTACTATTTGTTCTGTTAAAGTCAATTTTAACTGCTCCTTTATTTAAATTCAACTCAGCAACAAGACAAGGTAGTTTTTATTTATAAAGCACATTTCAAACACTGCTTAGTATAGGCAAAGAAAAGCATTTAAATGACATTTAAAAACAATAAAAGAAATGTATTAAGGTCAAATAAAAGGAAACATTAAAAATGAAATGAAATGAAATAGTTACACACAGTGCAGTGATTAGATATATGTTACCCCAAATGCAACAAAGATAAATAATAGTGCACTAGAGGAAAAGAAATCAATGAAAGGCGGAGTTTTTTAATTAGATTTGAATGTAGCGTTTTTGAGATCATCGGGAAGTTGGTTCCATCTGTGTGCACCACAGTAGCTGAAAGCAGCTTCACCCTACTTACTGAGAGAGGAAACCGGGGGCTAATGGTGTTGGGGGATTGGTTAGTGTCTCAACAGAAGGGAGTGAGAAGTGTTGATATTCCTGTTGGTGATGTGGAGAAAAAGGCTTGTCTATCCATATTTATTTATTCATTAATGTGAATATGGAGCTTTTCTGTAGTAAGTGTGTGTAGGGTGGGGGGAGCAGACTGAACATGGCATGGACTTGATAACGGATTAGCTGGATTTGATGACTGAGCAGACTGGACCATTGTCTTTGTTGCCTACCAAGGCAACAGTGGGGAAAGCTAGTGGCACTCTGGGTCCATGCTTGTCCTGGGAACATCGTGTTCTAAGTGCTGTCGCCCTGGTGACCTGGACCGGACGGATATCAGTAGGCCGTATTTTGTGCACAGTCAGTTGTGCTAAGTGTCCAGCTGGAAAGAGGGAGGAGGATTCTGTGGACCTGGGTCTCCAGGGACTTAAAGCTGAGGGTGGAGGTGGGTGCCAAGAGAGGGGAGATAAAACAGGAGATGAGCGGAGGGCTGGGGGCAGGGGGTAAATGTGCCCTTATGACCTTATTAGCCATATAAAGGAGTTGTCAATTGGCCATTTTCTTATTACTTTTGAACTCAAATCTACTAACTAGTAGTTGAATACATCAAGACCTGCGGTATCAGCAGATATCCAAATCCAGGTATATATGAAACAGTGGATTGCTGCATCTCTGCTTTCAAGCACGGCAATCTTGTGATGTCGTCTGTGGAAGTTGTCCGTGGAGAGGGGGCGTGGAGGCATCTTGCAGCTAACAACCTTCAGCTCGTGCCAGAGTCCTTGTTCAGTGCAATGAGATAGCAAAAGGTTTGTCCTATTTGCAGGCCACGCTCGTGCAGTACCGGAGAAGTAAGGAAAAGTGATAAAAATATAGTAGTTTCCTTCTTTGTCTTTCATAAATTAAAATCCTAGTATCCAGGATCCACTGTAACAGCAAAGATAAAACAAAGAGCAGGAAGCAGAATAATAGAACAGAAAAATAGCAAATGATCCTTAGACACAGTTGCAATCTGAGCCGCTCAGCTGTCCAACTATTGGAGCTGTCACCCTAAAAGAAATTCAGATTTTGTGTCAGTAAGTGTGTAAGTGTTTTGACCAGTCTTGTCTTGTTTGAATCATTGAGGCCCCCACACTGTTTTGACAAAGTGTCAGCACCACATATCATTATAATGAGTCCAAAATCACCACAGGGCTGACTAGCTCCTTCTCCTGGAAGTCTTTCTACCAGTGCTCTCATGGTGCATTGAGGAGAATTAAAGCTGCAGGGAAACGATCTGGATGAAGCTGTGGAAACAGGCGAAAATCAAAAGCGCTGTTTATGAAAAATGGACATGTTAATAATGGGCAGGCGAAGACAGCAGAAGTAGTGCAGCTACCCAGTTTGAACCATCACCGCAGCCACATGCTGTTGTTATACTGAACCGTATACTGAGTAAATATGACCCACATCAGCAGGTTTTTGAGAGGTTGCGTCCAGATCAAAGATTGAATCTTGATAAACCTAAAACAGTCAGGGTAGATTATCGTTTATAAGATAATGAATGAAGCTCATCACAGGCCAAATTAGCTCCTCCACTGAGTTGTCAGCCACCTCCTCTGCCTCACTCTCACTTCCTATGTCTCTCTGTCTCTCTGTAGAATTGGTACAGCAGGGATAGCAGTGCAGGTGGTGGGCAGTAACTGGCCAAAGCCCCACTACACCCTCCTCATCACCGGATTGTGCCGCTTTAGTGTGTCAAGCCTGCTGAAGGAGCGGCCATTCGTCCTGGCCGAGGTAAACCTTGTTTAATATGAGACAGAAGTTTAATTAAGATACAATTTTTATTTTCAGCTGATTATACACTAATGAAAACATACATAAAATATTATTTTCCATTTCTGTCAATAAATATTCCTGAATAATACACACTGGACCTTTAAATGCTGGTATTATTGTACATTTTTCTTATTGTCAACAAGTTACACTATGAAAGTGATGGGTTTGATGTTGTTTCAGATTAGCCATGTTTGGCACAACAAAATGAAGGGACCTTTACTTTGATTTTAATTTATTTGAGTTTAACGACAGCAATCACTCAAACTTATTATTAATTACTTATTATTATTATAATACAGTTTTATGATCTTATCTAACTTGGGAGGAAAGGACTCTTATATAGGGGGGAATTTATATTTTTGTATCTCATAGTGTGCCTGATGTGCCTTTTTTTAAACTACACTTAGTGAAAAAGCCCACTATTATTCATCCAGTGAAAGTGTAATATTATTACTACTGTAATTAGTAATAGCAGTACTTTAAGGTGCCCTGTGGAGTTTTCCTGTGAAGTTCTTTTACATTTAGTGTCTCACCAAAATGCAGCACGTGTATCTCTGAGGCCAAACAAATGCATTTTCTTCCTCATTAAAAAATGTTTATTAATAATTGATTTTTAATTGTCTGTTGTTTACATTCATGTGTTTTAGTCTGTTGTCTTTCTTTGCTTTGTTGGCGCATTTGTGCGTCGCTGCTGCCAACTGTCAGCAGAATGTGTGAAACCAGCTGCAGGAACGTGTATCACCTCGCTCCAAAAACTCCACAGGGGTACCTCCAATCTCCTAATATTGTTATTTACACTGAAACACTGTCAAGGGAGTCCCTGTGCCATTATAGTTTTTTTTTTTTTTTATAGGCAATACAGGACTTCAAGCAACTGTCACTCAGTTATTTCAGAAATGCAAATAGATAGATAGATAGATATTCCTTTATTTGTCCCACAATGGGGAAATTCCAATGTAACAGCAGCAAAGTGGATAGAGAAAAAACAGTATAAATAAACAGTAAGTAATAAAAACAGTGAGAATCACAACAACAGATAACACAAATAGCACAAAAATAGTAGCAGCAGTTGCACATGGGCAATAGATTGCACAGTAATTATTGCACATTATTATTATTATTGATGCTGAGATGGGGGGGGGTTACTGGGAGCAGTGCTGGTTGTTAAACAGTGACAGCAGTCTGACAGCAGCATACAAATAAATACACAACTGTGTGTGACTGCAGTATGTGTCTCTCTTATTGCAATACAATTGCAGGTGGAGCAGCTGGATAAACTGGATCAGTACACGACCCCAGCCACAGAGGGTGTCACAGCAGAAGATGGAGAGCTGGGGGAGCTATCCCAGAAGTTCTACCAGGCTGCTGTACAGGTATGTGTGTGTATACCTTGTCTATGTGTGACTGAGAGAGAAGAGAAAAATATTCCCAGAGTGCTTGATTAACTTCATCAAAGGTAAAATATTTACAAAATGACAGGAAAAGACGGCGCTTCTTGTCAATATGCTGGTTTTACCAATCAAATAAACTAGTTACAGGATGTTTACACATCTGACTCCGTCATTTTTAAGGTTAAACTGCTTTATTCGGTGTTCTGAGGAGCACCAGTGGAAGAGGAGCGTCGTTTTGACAGACAGCTACTCCCTCTCAACTTCTGACACCTACATGTTAAAACAACTCTACAATCCAGCCAACAACATAAAGATTAAAGTAAATAACTAATTTCCTAACCAACCACTGTGGCTATAATATATTACACAAATAATATCCACAAATTAAAGTCTGGCATGTGTGCAAAGACCTTCTAGGTGTTTATACAGGAAGATGAGTAATAGGATTGAGGCATCCTCTACTCCCATCGCAGCCCTATATCGTCACACTGTTAAAATAATCGCCTAAGTCATTTTTTGTCAAAATTGTTTTTTTTGCCTAAATCATCTCCTCATGACGCCGGCCACCTATGGTAAAATCGCCTACATCCTCAGTTGATCAGATCATGTGANNGATAATGGCCTATGTCAAGTGTGTGACTTAAGCGGATACGTTTTTTGTGTTTCCTGAAAAAAAATGAGTTAGGCGATTATTTTAACAAGGTGACGATATGCAAACTGCAAAGGGTCCAAAGCCTCCCCCACCATTTCCAACACTTCTCCTTTGACCAGCCAGTCATGACCTGTGATGTCTATGCCACTGGTCTAAAGTAATTTAGGCCCCTATAGGTTCCGCTTTTAACAGAACTACAGAGCATTTCACATGTTACATCTTACATGTTACATTACACATGACGTGTGCTGGACAACATGCGTGGCAGCACTGCCTTCACCCTGCTGTGCATGGAGTTGTTCCTCTCACACATCCACAGCCAATTGAGACTGATTGAGCGCAACAAACCTTTAAAGGAGTGTTTGTTCGGTCTCTGACACTGTGACATGTTGCTTTGGTTAATAAGGGTGAAGAATAAACTATGATGGGAAGGCAGGGGTCAGTCACTCTCTATTACCTCCTGAGTCTAACCCAACTGCTGGGGTCAGCGTTGTAGGTAACAGATTTGACACCAGCCCGATAAAGTAGCAGCAAAAAGTAGCAAAAACCAAAATAGAAAAATAAAAAACATATGCAAAGTCTAGCTTTTTAAATCCAACATGTTTACGTCCATGTTTACTAGCTAAGAGTCTTCTTCTTTCCTCTATGACAGTAAACTGAATATCTTTGTGTTGCAGGCAAAACATTTTATGACATTTTATCGACCAAACAACAAAGTAATGGGTTAATAACTAATTAATTGAAAAAAAGGCAGATTAATTGATGATGGAAAAAAAGAAAATCATTAGTTCCAGCCCTGCTTACAATTATTGAGGTCAGGACATCGGCAGGTTTCTCTCTTTTAGTGTTTATACCACAGCTGGTTTCACTCTTGCCAGGTGTGAATTCCTGGAACACTCTGTGGGTGGATCTCAGAATTCGTCAAAATAACCAGAAACAGTCTTATTCATAAAAGCAATAAACAGTGATTAACTGGAACACATATTTAATTGTTTTAGTAAATCTAATCCCATGTATCTTTGTGTGTGTGTATGTGTGTGTGTGTGTAGTTGTTAGGTATGTTGGACATGTCGGTTCCAGTCGTGGCTAAGTTCAGGCGTCTTTTGGACAGTCTGCCCAGGGAAACTCTACCTGACGTGGTGGCCTCCATGATCCGCACCTCAAACAAGGAGAAGCTACAGGTAACGGATAAGGATTACTGCTTCAGTTTGACCCAAAATGCAAACTTGATACTTAAAAACAGTTAGAGACGTGGGGATGCTGGGAATCTTAACCCTCTCCAATCCAGAAGGTGGGTAAGGCACTAAAGGGAAGTTTGGTCCATGAACTCTGCCTGGATAACGGGCTGGTCTGATGACGGGTTACGTGATTGCTGTGACGTCGGCTTGAGTTTCTCCAAAAGTTGATTCCGTTTCAACTTTTCGCACATTCAGGGTCCCTGGGTCTGATCTTAAGCTGCGACAGGATGGCGTCAAAGAGAAAAAAAAATTCAATAACTTAGACTTAGTAAAGGAGGTTTAATGTTTTTAAAATGTTCTAAAATCAATATATTTTTTGTATGTCCATGGGTGCTGTAAAGGTCCTGGATGCGGTGAGCTTGGAGGAGCGATTTAAGAAGGCTTTGCCTATGTTGACCAAGCAGATAGAGGGGCTAAAACTGCTGCAGAAGACCAGAAAAATAAGTCCTGACAATGAGAAGAGGGTAACAAACATTTGCATTTCTCCTTTTCCTCTCAATGTCTGCGTTCATACGCCCATTCACCTCTCTGCGTCTCATCTGTTCAGGTGTTATCGGTGCGTAAAGGTGGAGTGTTCCCTGGTCGGCAGTTCAACCTGGACGGGGAAGATGAAGATGAGGATGGTGATGACACTGCAGTCTTGGAGAGGAAGGTCCACGGGGCCAACATGCCTGAAGCTGCGCTCAGAGTTTGCCTCAAAGAGCTTAAGAGGTGAATTTATACCCTGATTAAACCTTCAGCTCGGGGCTGGGCGATGCTTTTTATAGTTTTATCAACATAAAATATAAAATAACATAATATAAACATTTAATTGTGCAAAAATGACTTGGTTTAGAATATATGTTTTGATAAAAAGAATACATACACGGCCCTACTCTGTTTAATGCGGGATTTCACTGATGTGTCCTGGTCCTCAGTCAGACTGCTGCTGCATTTAATCTTATTCATTTGTGTTTAGATTGAAGAAGATGCCTCAGTCCATGCCCGAGTACGCCCTGACCAGAAACTACTTGGATCTAATGGTAGAATTACCATGGAGCAAAAGCACCAAGGGTAAATGGAGAGTCACGCACCCTGTCAGATGCCTCAGATACGGTTTGAGATCTTTAATGCTCCCCCACTGTGTCTGTGTACCATGGCCAAGCAATTCCAACTGTCAGTGATGCGTGATAGCTGTGGCATTGTTGGAAGCCATCTTTTTTCACTTTTAATGGAGCTAAGCTAACAGAGCCTAATATTTAAGCAATGCTTAACATGTGGCGGCTGGAAGATCGTGGTGATAACTGTGCTGAATATATCAACGTAATCAGTCTCGTATTTTTCTGGTGCATTTCTTTTACTTAGAAGCGTGTCTGCCGGAGCTCTCTGTTGTTTTTGGACTGACTCAAACGATTAATGTCAAAATGAGGTTTTTCACATAAAAGGAATTTGCTTTGGTTGATTTTGATGCGTAAGAATAAACATGGTAAGAGAAATAAGAGTCTGTGTTCACCACCAAACAACAGGTAGACTAGGTTAGCCACTAGCTGGTGAGCATAGTGGAGCATTTCACATCTAAAAGAGCAAAAGATAAAAGACTTACATTCATCACGTTGTCAGAAAGTCGACTCCAGATGAAGCTATTGTTGCTCTGTATCTGCTAACTTCGCTGCCCCTCTTCTCATGAAGGATGCACATTTTATTGATACAAATTACATTATTGATTCTGCGTAATGGCCCAATTCTTTATTGTTTCCTGTGTGAAAAAGCTTTAAGTTTTACCTTCTTATTCTATATAAGATTGAATATTTACCCTTGGTAACAGTTCCTAACCTGTAGTTTTTACACACAGGGTAAGAAAAGGTAAGATTTAGTGAGGAAAGAGAAATGATTTAATATTCCAATTCTAATGGATCGGACGATTTAAAACCAGTTCTAAAGCAGCTTTAAATAAAAAAATTTACATCATTATATCACTCATGTCTAAAAGAGAACCTGCACTATCTCAATCCCATGGCGACAATCTGCCACGTATACACATATACAGCCATACCATACAAAGAGAGAATGTATTTGCAGTGGTCAGCCACAATATCAGACTCCTCAACAGATTCCTCAACCTCTTCGTCCTCTTTCTCAAATTTCATCTCATCCCTCTGTTACTGCAGCTCCCACCTCACCTCACTGTCTTCACCTTGAGTAACTTAAATGTTATCTCTTTCTTTCTTGGATCCATCCATCTCGTCTACATTTGCCCCACCCAACACACACACACACACACACACTCACACACACTCTCTCTCTTCAGACTGTCTGGACATCCGAGCCGCTCGTACTTTATTGGACAACGATCACTACGCCATGGACAAGCTGAAGAGACGCGTGCTGGAGTACCTGGCTGTTAGACAGCTGAAGACTACACTGAAGGTGCTTCTTTTAGATATCTCCGTCCATTGCACGTGTAAACTTTATATATTGCACGAAGCAAGATGGATGTCCGTAATGAGCACCATCATATCTGTGAATTTCATGCTGCTGCTGTGTCTTTAGGGCCCCATCCTCTGCTTTGTGGGACCCCCAGGAGTTGGTAAGACCAGTGTGGGACGCTCCATAGCCAGGACTCTGGGCAGAGAGTTTCACCGCATTGCTTTGGGAGGCGTCTGTGACCAGTCTGACATCCGAGGACACAGGTACGTTGATAAGATAGCACTGCTTGAGGTCCATAAGAGCAGATGTTTTCTGACCCCAGTATAGATGTTGAGTTTAGTGGGGCCATAAATGAAGGTGGACCACACAGGTAGAGGCGAGTCCAGGACAGTTACAGATACATACTACTACTACATATGTCCTGAGATGTGTCAATTTATGGACTGAGATTAGAGGTGATTCCTCTTTTAATATTTACTGAACTTGCAGGGGGGTCTTGTCTCTTTAATCCCACAAGCTGCCGGGGGATTGATTGATTTCTGTGGATAATGCTTAACCTAAAAAGTTTATGGCTGCTGCTATATAAGAAGTTCAGCGCCCCCTCACATAGCGTTTCCCATTCACTGTCTTTAAAAGAACAGCCCAGGTCTCGTTCCCGTTTAATCCTACCGTTTGAGGGTGAAGCAGCGTGTCATTTTGTAATCTAGTTTCAGGACACGGATAATTGAAACACCAACTATAACAACATGCCTCAGCAGCATAAATATATTGTTTTTATGGTTGGAGATTACATTGGCTTTGTGGATGTGTTTTTGAGCGCAGTGCTCTCTGCTTGAGGGTGAAACATGAGCCCTCATTAGTCAAGTATTTGGATTGCATTCCATACATAATCATCACACTGAGAAAAGTAATTAAACACAGTTAGAAAATAATAACCATTTTTTCTTAAAAGACTCCAGTTGGAGAGGGGGAATGAAATCCATCCAGTCCATTTGGAACAGTTTAATATGGTGGCTTAAGCCTAGAAAATCCGCCCGATGTTTCTCCAGCGTGCCTGGAAGTCCACCTGTCTATAATTTAAAAGACTGATGATTAAAACACACATGTTCATGTTATGGTCTAGCAGTTGAAAGGCAGCGGAGCTTAATCCGAGGTGAAGCCATTTATAAGATCTGATAGCACATCAGCAGTGGGACCTCCACATTCAGACATGTCCTCAGAAAAGTTAACCAAATGGTCAAAGTACCACATCAGAGGCAAATATGTCGGGGACTTTTACGTCAATTATCCCGGGAACGCTTAAATCAATTATGTTGTAACCTTGGATAGACATTAGCGCTGCTAAGCTGCAGACCGAGGGCATCACTAATGTCATTTTCTGTGTTAATCTGTGTGCAGCTGAATGAACAGTGAGCCTGACAACCATAAATGTGGACTAAAAACTAGGGGATCAATTCGAGGAATAACTGCGTTTTTTTCTCATAGATCTAGTAAAATTTACTGCAACTCAAACAATAAAATCCTCATGAACTACAGCATATTAATTGACTCACACGTATCTTTTGTAACCAGTCAGTAAAAAAAAAAAAAAATAATCATTAGAGTTGAGCAGGGCAGCAGAGTTTATCTCAGGGTTGCAGGGTTGATGCTGGTATTTTAAAGGAAGAGTAAATAGAGTAAAGAGAGTTGAGACTCACTCTTCTCTCAGCCAGATGAGAAACATGTGTCCATCATACCAACAGCGGGAGTGCAAGAGATAAAGATGGCATGTCTTTAACGGTTCATTATACAATTTGTTCAACTCAAAAATAAAAGATTCTCTCAAAGGTAGACCACTTCAGTATTTTGAGTGGTTGTGTATTTTCTTTATTTTATTTCCTTTCTTTTAACCCCAGAAACTTCACATTTCATGCTTTCAGCTTGTGAGCACTGCTTTCATTAGGTAATTTCGTCACGGAGAACATTGCTGCGATTTTGTTTTTCAGGTTTTATTATTGTTGAGTAGTAATGCTTGTAGATGAGTTTGTTACCAGTGCGACCATGCAGAGTTATTTTCAGTTTGTTTGAAATTGAGTGGAATCCTTCCCTTTTCTCTAGACGTACGTATGTCGGGAGCATGCCCGGCCGCATTATCAACGGTTTGAAGACCGTAGGCGTCAATAATCCTGTGTTCCTCCTGGACGAGGTGGACAAACTTGGGAAGAGCCTTCAAGGAGACCCTGCGGCTGCACTGTTAGAGGTCGGCTCTGTTTCTCTCTTTCACATTACTTGTGTAGTCGTATCGGATGTCTTCACTGAACAGAACCGTCCAGTGCTCCCGACCTAACCTGCCAGTTAACCTTAACCCTTGTTAAAACTGCTAATAAGTATTGGTTGTGCTTCCTCATCAGGTTTTCTCTGCATGTTTCCTTAGGTCCTGGACCCGGAGCAGAACCACAGCTTCACAGACCATTACCTCAACGTGGCCTTTGACCTCTCCCAAGTGCTGTTTATTGCCACTGCAAACACCACAGCGACCATTCCCCTGGCCCTGCTGGACCGGATGGAGGTGCTGCAGGTACCAGGTGGGTTTAGGTCTGTTTGATCTTGATGACAAACTCTTGTTCTGGTGATAGCTAATCCCAAACAGAGTGCAGTCTGTGTGATTGGATTCACGGCAGTGGAGTCAGGGAACAGATGAAACAACAACTCCATGTCCAGCTTTGTCTACAAAAAACACCTTCAGCCATCACCACAGTTTAATGGCAAAACATTGTTATCTTCTAAAACATGTTTAAAGAACATCAGAGATAACACAGTGTTGTGTTTAACAGTCGTATATCCATGTATCTCAGTCCAAGATCAAAATACAACTGCATTAAATCCAAGAGAGATTGTTGAGGGGGACAGAGACAGATGAACTGTAGATAATGATAACCTGTGTTATGACCTACAATGAAGGGCAGATATTTCTTGCTTACTGCATTGTTTTTATTACACACTCTAACATACAGTAGTATTTGAGGGAACAAAGTGGGGCTGCACAATATATCTTTTTTGCGATCACGATTTTAATTTTTGTTTAAAAATGTTTTTCTTACATCTGGAAAACAGGATTAGCAATCTGGGGTATCTTCATTATAATGCTGTTTTAATACATTTTACCCTTAATTGCGATTTCATCATTCTGGAAAAAGACAGTTGGTTGTTGAGTGTCACGCTACGGGTGATAGTAAAAGGGAAACAAACAGTGGCTAGGAGCAAGCCGCGGCTAATGCTCAAGGATGCATTAGCCGCTACTAGCATTACGCACCTTCCACCAAACTTTTGGCACTCAAGTTGCATTGTGGGTAAAGTAGGAGCCGGGTTTTCTCTGGCTATACCTCTGCTTCTGTTGCATCGATGTTGAATCTGTAGAGTGGACTTTTAAAGTGCGTCTGTGTGTGTTTCAGGCTACACGCAGGAGGAGAAAGTGGAGATAGCTCACCGTCACCTCATCCCAAACCAACTTGAGCAGCATGGATTAACACCACAACAGCTGCATATACCGCAGGACACCACGCAGGATATTATCAGCAGGTCCACACAAACACACACACACACGCACACACAGGGAGCACGGTGAAATGTGGTTCTCATTGCAGACTGTGTCACATCCTGTCCAGTAGTTGAGTTGAAATAGTGTTTGCAAAGATGAAAATGTACTCAATATGTTTTTGGAATGCTGTATGCTCGTAGATTCATGCGTATGAGCTGATGAACAAATTCAAGGCAAATTTAATTTTTTTTTGCATTAATAATGTGAAACTGCTAAGTAACTAACTAAAGATATCAAATAAATGTAGTGGAGTGGAAGTATAAAGTAGCATAAAACGGAAATACTTAAACACAGTCACCTCAAAATTGTACTTACTTACAGTAAAGATTTTTACTGCAAATGTATATTGTTCCAATTATCAGTTTCCTTTATTACTAATAATCACTGTCTGTATCGGTGCTGAAAACCCGCTGATCAAGAAGTAGTGGTCACCTGGTTAAGCTGTCAGAGGCAGTTCAGCAGCATCATACAATACAAGGCTTTTAGGGAAGAGGAGAGCTCCTTTGTCTCCTGTGTGAGACTGCTGTAGGTCACATTAACAATAGCTGTACCGGCCACGTGTACGGGCCAGGCAGGTAACCATTATTCTACTCCTCAGTGCTGCCCCTCGCTGGGATTTAGTGTGAACTTTACGCAGATCTTCTTTGTGTGTTTGATTCACCAATCAGCATACCAGACCATTTAACAGTTTGATTGAGGGGGTTTCTGTTTCCAAGCCATGACAACAAAGAAAAAGATGGAATTGATTGAATAAAAGTGCGATAAAACGAGGTCATCATGGTTGTGTCGAACAGAACAGACGCTGGTGCCCCGTTCTGCCCACAGCTTCTGATGTGGACATCGTCATCGTTCACTGGAAATCTCCTGCATTTAGCCTGCGAAGGACCGATCCGGTGTGTGATATGTGCAGCAGAGCGCTCGGCCAGCTGGCAGCTCACGTCTGAGGCTAACTTGGAATTCCACTTCTGGTCATCAGAGTGTATCATTAAGTTGTCAAGTGGTTTAGTGGCAACTTGTTTTGAATGCTGACCAGTGCTTCTTTGGCAGGATGACCTTTTGATTAGAGAAAACATCTTTAAGCCAGATGAATGAGTGCGGCCGTCTGTGTTTCAGATTTGAGTCATGCCTTGGACCTCCAACAGTTCTTGGCTGTTTAACTCACTCTAAGCTGTTTTAAAACATTAGAGCTGCAGCTTGTTTTCACTATCAGTCTGTCTGTTGATGATGTTTAGATTGATTGCTTAATCATTTAGTCTAAATGTTCTAAAACGTCACATTGGGCTCTAAAAAGTCTTTTTTCTCTATTTCCTGACATCTTTAAGTTGCTTGTTTATCTCATCAAAGTCCAATTCCAAATGCGTTTAAGTTACAGTGATATAAAACAAAGAAAAGCAGCAAATCCTGATCCAGTTATCTCTCAGTGGATTAATCTATTAATCAATTCAATTCAATACAATTCAATTTTATTCGTATAGGCGCCAATACATAAGCAGAAAGTTTATCTCAGGACACTTTTAAACAAATAGAGCAGGTCTAGACCGAACTCCTTTTAAACATTTACAGAGACCCAACAGTACCACCATGAAGCAAGACCTTGGCGAACCTGAGGCAAAGAAAAACTGCTTTTAACCCAGGTCAGAAACCTAAAAGGACAGACCTTCGGCTCTAGGTGGTGGTCATCTGCCTTTGAGCCCAGTGAGTGAGTGAGTGAGTGGAGAGAAGAGAGAGAGAGAGAGAGAGAGAGAGAGAGAGAGAGGAGAGAGAGAGAGAGAGAGAGAAGGAGAGAGAGAGAGAGAGAGAAGAAGAGAGAGAGAGAGAAGAGCAGAAGAGAGAGACAAACAGTAGGCAACAACTACATTTTTTTAATAGTAGTGACCGATCATGCGAAAAAGAAAGAATGACAGCAAGCAACCGATGGGGGGAACAGCGAGCAGCGACAACAGTAACAACAGTAAACAAATGTAGCAATAATAAATACTTAATAATAACTAATAATAATTAACACAATAATATCATCAGTGATTTTTAGCAATTGGTACGTACAAAGCCCAGGAGCCATGGCAGGAAGGCTCCACCAGGATCCATGAGAACCTGTGAGACGAGAAAGCACAAGAACTCCGGGGAAGAAGTGAAGTTAGTAACGTAATGGGACATGAATGAGTCAACAGTTTCTTGCAGCAGTAGTGTGGTTCTGATGGTAATATTTGTGAGTAACAGTCAGTTTTAAATTGTCTTTGCCATGTTTAAAAAGTAATCCGCCAACATGAATCTACTGATGCAGAGGCTTCTGGTCCTTACAGATGGTGAGCAGTATGCTGCCTGCAGACCTGCAAGCCTCTGTGCAACACTCGCTGCACTCCCGTCTGGTTACTATAGAAACAGCCAACAGCACACAGCTAGGAGCTCATCCTTCGAGGGATACTCCTGATTTCACTGGCTGGAAAAAACAAACTTAAAATGATACAAAAAAACAAAAAAAACAGAAGAGGTTGGGATGGTTTGAGGGTAAAAAAAAGTGAAGAGGATTCAGTCGAAACCAGATTGGTTAACAGACGTGTCAGACTGCTCCACAGACAGTATGAGATGTCATTGTTGTCAGGACTTCAAGTATTTAAGCAAATCCAGCTCTTTTCAATAGGGTGGTTTTTAAATCTGTTGTCATTCAACACTTTGTTGGTTTGTTCCTTTAGATGCAGCACTGATACAGATTCAGAGTTTCAGGCCCACACAGTAGCAGCTCCAACCAAGATGAAGTATTGTTCCTGACTGTTTTGTGCTCTCGACCCAATCTCTGACTCTCACTGATCCACTCCTAGCAATGGAAGCTGAAGTGCCAGTGAAACCTCCACCTAATTGTGTTCATCTGTTGTGTGTCTGTGTTTGTTGCTGTAGGTACACTCGTGAGGCAGGCGTGCGCTCCCTGGAGAGGAAGATTGGGGCCATCTGTCGAGCCGTGGCTGTGAAGGTCGCTGAAGGTCACAGAGTCACTAAGACGGAGGCTTTGACCCCCGAGTCCCAAACCCAGCAGGGAGGTGAGCTCTCAGTCTGTGTCTCTGTGGACTGATTCAGAGGTGGAGGAATAATCTCACAAGGCAGCTGTGTTTGCCTTTTATCTCAGTTTGAATTAAGGGAGGAAAAGGAGTGAATGAATTGTTGCTATATTAATAATATTGTTGCATTACTACCAGCAGAAGCAACTTTAAGTCCAAAACTCTAGACCAGTTTACTTCGCGGCTCATTTTGTTTTGGTGCGTTTCCTTTTTCAAGTTCTGACAACAGCCTGCCAGAAATTCTCCCGATTGGTCCGAAAGTCCAAACAATCCAACAAAATGTTTTCACGCTAGTTTGATCCGGACCTAGACCAGCTTCTTTCACCAGATAAAGGTTCGGCTGTTTGGTCCAGACAGTGGTCCGGGGAAGGTTTCACACTTTTTAATTTTGGTTTCAGATCAAACTGTCCAAAAGTCCGCACCAAACAAGGCAGGTAGAAGGACCGTCAGTAGACCTGCGCTCAGGTTGAAGGGGGATAGAGGTATGCTGGGAATTAAATGAGGTCACTTAACTCTAAAAAGCACGGGTATGATTAATAATATAAATGATGGACCTGTTCCATTTAGGTGCTCCAGTTCCAGGGTCCTGGTATTGTTCCTGCTGGCTCACTGTCCTGACTTACTGTTACACCTGTGCTCTTCCTGCTACAATAAGTAGCTATATCTCTCACATGAGGAAGTTGTCTCACATTAACAGAGATGTCAGCCACAGTCTGTACACTCCACACACATCTCTAATTAGTAACGATGAGAGGAAACACATGTGTGGGTGTCTCACAGCCACAGAGCAACAGCTGTTTAGCACAAGGTGGCGCTAGTCCGTTTGAAAGGAATCAGCCACACTGAGCAGACTTAGTACTGCAGAGTAAATCAGCTTGAATATTCATGAGTGGATTATTTGTTAGACAGACAAACAATTCCTACATAGACAGACTCTTTGACTTACAGTCTGTTTTTATAGACCCTCTAATATGTGTGATAAATAGTAATATCATTTAAACAGTATTTCATGTCAGCTGCTGGATGCCTGAAGAATAACAATATGTCTTTCAGTAGCTGTGTAATGAGGTGGATAATGTGCAGCCAGCTGGTCTTCATTAGAAAATAAACCCTGTCAAGACTTCTGTCAGAATGTTTGCTGGAGACTAGCTCATTGTACATTATCTCTTACTCATCTGGTAATGATATTAGGAAGTCATACTTTTTATTTGTCTGCAGGATTCACAGTAGATTAAAATGTGTCTCTTAGACCCTTCGTTAGAGTGACTTAAAGAACGAGTGTACATTGGATAAACAGAGGGTGTAAGCTGTTGTTTGGTGCTACTTTGTACAGAGCCCTCTGTGTTGCCAGGTAACTGATGTCATAGGACCACCACCCCAGCACAAACATCTCTGTGTGTGGGGTGCTGTCTGTGTGTGTGTGTGTGTTGTTGCGTGGCGCGCCTCTCGTGTTGTGTGTAAATGATGTGTGGTCTTGTGCAAGTATTTTGCATTTTTCCATGGGGATAGTGTGTGTTTGATGTCTCTCACTGTTTGATGTATATCTGTGTTTGGTTTTCTGTGTTTGCATAATGTCAGAAAGAGAGTGTGTGTGTGTGTGTGTAAACAGCTAGAATTGCCAAGTCTCAGTTACAGTATGTTGTCACCCGTCACTCTTCTTTCTGCCTCTCTCTCTCCTCTCTCCTCTCTCTTTCTTCTCTCTCTTCTCTCCTCTTCTCTCTCTCTCTCTCTCTCTCTTCTCTCTCTCTCGATCTCCTCTCTGAGGCCTAACTTCCATCATTTTATTCCTCTATACAGTATGCGCCGGCAGTGCACTTATGTAACGTGATTATTCTTCATACTCAGCAGTCACCTGATTCCATAAACATTGATGTGAATGAGAAATGTTTTTCCTTTTTATCTGTTGGATTCTTCCAATGGAACATCTCACCCAAAGTGTGAAATCTATGCGTATGTAGTAGATGTTGCTTCCGGTGCCGCTGATACAGCCTAAAATATGATCCGATACAGCGTCATTTATTAGCCACAAAACATCTGGGCATCTTTATTCCTGGCAAAGTCATGACCCCCCTACTCTGATTCTGATTGGCTTACCCTGATATTCTCTCCTAACCAATTATCCAGACCCAAACCAGCAATAAGAGAATCAGAAATCAGAATAGGGCGTTTGATTGCCAAGTAGGTTTTCACATCCAAGGATTTTCCTTGATAAACTGGTGTATAACAATTAAACAAAGATAAATAAAGATAAAATAGAGACAATAAAAAGAGACAACATATACAAATATTAAAAAGAGAGATGTACAATATGACTAATGATTAATGAAGAGCTGTACAGGAATGTGCAAGTTAGTGAGCACTAGCCAATCAGAGGCAGGTGCCATGCATTGTGCTGCCAGTGGGTGCTGAGTGACGTAGAAGAGTTGATTTCTGGTAGTGGAACGTTAGCCAGAGCTAGCTAAATGTCAACAATTTGACTGACTGAGTTCTATGGCATTCATTCTCTGTATTTGTTCCTGACGACCAACATCCAACAGCACGGCTCAGTAGGGTTCATGTTCTTTCATGTGTGTTCAGACAAGGTGGCGCCTCCAGAGATGCCCATAGTGATCGACCACATCGCCCTGAAAGACATCCTGGGACCTCCGCTGTTTGAAATGGAGGTAAGAGGCAGAGAGACCAGCATCTGCAGATTATTAAAGTTCATACACCACAGATATGTGCAGAATCAACCTCCAAATACTTTTATTTTTACGACCTAGTGGACAGCTTTCGCAGCTCATGAATATAAAGGCAGTCTGAAGACGTCTCACAGCTCCACAACTGCTGCTGTTCAAAGTCAGAATAGATGCAGCAGTAATGCAGCAGCAAGTTGAGATGTCATCATACAGTACAACTAGAACAAAGCACCTCTTTCCTTGCGCCCTGAGAGGTGGTGAAGGATAGATAGAGGAGAGTCTCGCGATACCAGACAATTGGAGAGCTCAGCTTTTAATGGTCTGGGAATTCTTTAAATGCAAAGTAGTTGCTTGAACGTACGCCCCTTAGTTCAAGAACACGCCTTACCTGAAACAATTCTCTCCACCCTATTCTCAAACAAACTGGAAATATAGTGAATCTGTAGCTGGATTCCTCTGTAGTTGCAACAAACAACCAAAGGATTTGGGATCTCTACGACCTTTTGACGTCTCTCAAGGGAACATGACCGCATTGCAGGAAATGCAGGCTAAAACAAAAGAAACTGGACGGCAGACTGACTTCTTGTGGAGCTGTAGTTGAAGTTTCTGTCCTTCTGTCTGATCCTGTCAGATCTTTCCCACTGCTGACTCGCTGTACAGAGTCCACCTGAAAATAGTCAGGGTGAAATTATTACCAGAGGCCACGTGTTGGTACTGTTAATGTTGAACTATGTACAACCAATCACATTGAGATCTTTTGATGCTAATTATATAGAGTTAACATGTTGTGACCCTGTAACACGGCCACAACCATCGCTCGACGGCCAGAAGCATGAACACAAATGCAGATTTAGCTAGCTATGCACTTTATTAGCATGCTGATGCCAAGCAGCAAACCAGAAATTCTTTCTCAGAATTCTCTATTTCTTGTCATATCTTGTCTTCTTCACTTCTTTTTTTCTTTGTTCTTCTCCCCCACTTGTCCTCCTTCATGTCTTTTCATCACTCTCACCATGAAGCCGTGTTTGCAATATGTTTCACTTTCATTCCTGAATATTTGAAGATTACAAACCCTCATTGAAGTCCTTGTGTCTTCAGATTCACTGATACAGCTTTACAGATGTGTTTTATGTATGTGTGTGTGTGTCTGTGTGTGTGTGTTGGAAGGTGTCTGAGCGGCTCACCCTGCCCGGTGTAGCTCTGGGCCTGGCCTGGACTCCCCTTGGAGGGGAAATCATGTTTGTGGAGGCCAGTCGAATGGAGGGAGATGGTCAGCTCACTTTGACCGGTCAGCTGGGAGACGTTATGAAAGAATCCGCCCATCTGGCTATCAGCTGGCTCCGAACGAACGCCAAAACCTACCAGCTCACCAACAGTGGGTTCACACAGATACACATACATACAGATAGACACAGTATATGTCTGTACTGTGCATGCCTTTACAGAAATATAAACTGGATGTTTGTGTGTGTGTTTGCAGTGGTGGGGGGTCCAGATCCGCTAGAAGGGGCAGACATCCACCTCCACTTCCCCGCTGGAGCTGTCACCAAGGATGGCCCCTCTGCAGGTGTTACCATAGTAACCTGCCTAGCCTCGCTGTTCAGCGGCCGGTTGGTCAGATCAGATGTTGCCATGACAGGAGAGATCACACTGAGGGGGCTGGTGCTGCCGGTGAGTTATCGCATCCAACACCTGGTAAAATGTTGATCCGTTCACAGTTTTAACAGACCGGATTGGTCCGTTCTCCTCAGGTGGGCGGGATCAAGGACAAGGTCCTGGCGGCCCACAGGGCAGGAGTGAAGTGCGTCATCCTCCCCAAACGCAACGAGAAGGACCTTGAGGAGCTTCCGGCTAACGTCCGAGCCGACCTTGACTTTGTCGCCGCCGGAAACCTGGACGAGGTGCTGAACACCGCCTTTGATGGAGGGTTTCCAGGGACAGCCAGTACCCACACACACCCTCAGCTGACCAGCAAACTGTAACACACAGATGAAAATACACACACACTGACAATGTGACGTGAAGAAGGCGTTCCTGTTATTCAGCTGGTCCATCAGAGTGCGTGCTCTGCTCTAATGGTGATACGTTATGTTATTAATCTTTAACCCAGTGAAAGGTTCTTTGCTGTTGATATTTTAATTTTTAAGGATTTAAAGGATTATTTTCCTACTGAAGAGATCATTTAAGGTTTATTAAGCTACAATTCAGTTTACACAAAACAACTCCCTTTATGTGACGTTCTACTGGTATGATCAGATATTGGCGAGGGCTGGATATCGGTCAAAAATGTTCAATGCTGATTCCCTGATTTCGATACCGGGTCCTCAAACAATCTTTTTTTCGATACCAATTCTCTAAAATCCATTCTAACAAAAAGAAAATTACATTACGGTACTTTTTGGGGTTCACTCAGTTGTTCTAGGTTGACAAGATTGGACTACATTGACTTATAAATGCAGCAGCACATGGGTGAGCACCTGTTGCCCTCACTGATTTAGTTTGTCACAGTTTGAGTTCAGTGCAGTCTGCCGAGATTGTTTGTGTGTGTGGTGATGGTCTGGATACCTGCAGCCTGTTGGAATGATTGTGTTTATAATCCAGTGTGGCCCAACATCCGTTATTTGTTGGATGTTTTTTTCTATTTTGGGATGAATTAGCTGTGCACATTGTATAACAACAAAGGACTACAGTTAGTATCAGATTTCATATTTAACTTCAACTTTTCTGGCAAAATTAATTAAACTCATTAAATGTCATATGAATCATATAGAGAAAGTGACATAATGGTTGTGGAGACTAGTCATAAATATAACTGTATACATCAATAAATAATATTGCTACTTAAAATAAAGTGTAAAAACTGATATGAAGGTTAGATTTCCTGTTTTTCGTTCCTGTTCTTCGGTTTTGGCACATATTTAATCATTTATTTATTCCTTTATTTTCCCCCCCACAGCATTTCCCCCAGACTTATTTCCAAGAAACGTGCACTTGAAGAAAAAAATGATGTTAGAAATAGAAACATGGTGTCTGTGAACTTCTGCGTAAAGGATAACGATAATGCGCTCGTATTACTTCTCACTGTCTATTCCAATTATTTAAATGTACTACAAGCAGTTTATAAATGGTTATGAAGTATCCATTTAATACTGATGCTTCTATATGACCTATTTAAACTAACAAGACCATCAGCAACATGTTTCTATATAGTTGGATTCCTCTTGAATTAATAAAACAAGATTTTGTCCACGGGGGCCGCCAGAATCAGCAAAAAAGTTATTTTTTTGAAAGGAACTTTAACAATTTAACTTTATTTTAGAGTTCTTTATTGGAGCTTTATGATATCTAACAGCACTGTGTTCATACAGTATTCCCCACAGATTAGAAGCACTAGTGGTGTGTACCCACAATGCTGTACTTCGGCTGAGGTGGTGACTAAAGAACAGGTTGAAATGACTCTAATTAATGTGAAAATGGGTGGGGTATAAAAACGGTTGCACTAATCACTTTTAAATATAACACAACTCGAATTTCATACTAACTCAAGATGAACTTGTGTCTTTTAATAACTGTAAAAATTGAGAGTTGAATTAAAGATGCTTGAAATCTTGAGTGCTTTTTTTTTTTTTTAATCCCCTCAGATGTTCCTGTCCTTCGCTGAGTGACTGTATTAGACGCACACAGGGATAAAATCACAACAGTATGTGCGTTTGTATACGTGTATCTCGGTGGAATTCACCCTGAAGCAGAAGAAAATAGATTTTCGACTCTGTGCCGCAGATGTGATTTCTTTTTTTCTCTTCTCGCTCTCCCCTGTAGCGATGTAATGTGAAACACCAGCGTGCAGCATCTTTTTTTCCACATTTAGACAGCCATGTCAGGATAAATAGACCCAAGCAGAACATTTTTAACAGATACATAAAAAAAGTATCACATCAAAAGAATTATGCAGGTATAAAAGAGATTTTACACAAAGCACTGACTGTATGCGTTATAAAGAAGATGCAGCAACAACAGCTGTGATGCTTTCTGTCAATTTGACCTTCAATGTAAATCATTTGTCAAATGATAAAAAAAAAAAAAAGTTAATAGTGTGCCCCTAATGTACTAGTGTCTATTCGGAGTAGCAAAAAACCTGCAATAACTGGTCTTGGCCACTTGGGGGCAGCGGTGAGATGCCGTCAACACGACACAATTTGAGTTGTTTTGGTGAACTTGTTAGTGAACTGTTGCTTATTCACACATCCAGCAGATATGGAGCGACACTGCCATCATCAGGAGTCGTGTGTCTGTCCACCTGGCGAATGTGAGTCCAATATTTTAGCTCCAGTTTTGGTCTCCACCGACTTCTGAGGGAAATATATGATAGCTGCTAAATGTTCACCAGCTAGTCACTAACTTTGTTATAAGCAGAGCTGGGTTTGTCATTACAAGTGACCATTCATATTACACATAATCAGTTGATTGTTATAAACATCTTGATAATAGCAGTTTTAAAGGTCCAGTGTGTAATATTGAGGAGGATGTATTGGCATAAATTAATATAATGTTCATAGGTATGTTTTTATAAGTGTATAATCACCTGAAAATAGGAATTATTTTGTTTTCGTTTCCTTAAAATAACGTTTTTATCTACATACGCTGTGAGTCGCCTTCCGTGGAGGCCGCCGTGTTGAACCGCCATGTTTCTACAGTAGCCCAGATGCACACAGTGGCCCTTTTAAAGCAGTGAATAATCAGGTTGGTGTCGGTGACCCTTCCACGTGTAACACGACACACAAAAGCTACCAAACTCACTCAATAAGTCCAATGCATTGCCCACGGAGAGAAAAACATGTTCATGCTTTTAGATTTATTGAAATAACACCTTCACAGTCAACATGTCACAGATAGAAATACATTGTCATATTACTAAGGTGAGTATGTAGCCTGTTGTATACTGTGTTTTTAAGTTCTTGTCCCCCGTGTTGAATGCCATTACCACAGCTCACCTTCCAAGCATGTAGGAGAAACTAAGGTGGCTGTGAGACCCACAAAAGGCCCTATCTATAGCCAGTGTTTGCTTTGTCCATTCTGGGCTACTGTAGAGAGACGGCAGTTCAATATGGCAGACTCTGTAGAAGAGGACGCACTCCCAGTGCGGATACAAACGACTCATTCTAAGGCAACAAAAACCCAATGATTATTATTTACAGGTGATTATACACTAATGAAAACATACCTATGAATATTATATTCATATTTTATCATATTATTATATATTTATCCCAATAGATCCTCCTAAATGTTGCACACTGAACCTTTAAGTTGTATTACTGGCAGCTAAGTAACAGTGTGTGAGGGGTGGTTGGAGCTGAGCAGTAGCAGGTGTATGATCTTCCAGGAAGCTGTTCATCACACAGGCCTGTCGTCAGCCATTTTACTTGATTTGATTTGCTCTGATTTGGTGATGACATGCAGCTGTTTGATGGGAGGCAGTGGAGAAAGCTTACAGCTGTTTAACACACTGCAGCCTTCACCCCGGGAGTGTGTGAGGGATAATGTGAGACTCTGAGGGATGGACTGGCCCAGGATCACATAGTTCTCAGGTATTGTGTTGTACCCAGCTGTTGGAGGAGGTGGTGGAGCAGAAGAATCATTCATCTGACCTATGGTAACACTGGTTGAACTGAGAATTAAGAATAGGCCACCAGTAACTGAGCAACTGACTCTCATACTGGGTGTGCTTGCATGCATTATTCAGCTCCATTCCAGTGCATTTATTTAATACTTTTATTTTGGCGTGTGCTATAAAATGAGATCCCTGGAGCTTCATTAGTCACAACCTGCACTTTGCTCACTAAAGACGACCTTAATGATCCGCGTGCAGGGGTGGACAGAACAACAGGAGCACTGAAAGGTATGCGTGAGTGTTTCTGCTGGACTGCATTATATCGCTGAGCCAGATAAAAGTTTATTAATCTGACTGTCAGAATGTTCGTCCATCTTTCCGTCAAGTCCATCACATAGTGAGAAAGATTATCTGTGTAACTGCCAGATTTCCACGAAAATAATTCATCACTGCCCACATCAAAGAGTTTTTGTTGAAGTTCGTGCTGGAGAAGTGACAAAACTAACTGCACCAGGGGAAAGAAAGGGATGATTGATTGGAGTATGCCGTTAATGGACACCAGTTTGTCCCACAATGCAATGCGCAAAAGGGAATGGAGGACATGTTTGGGAAAAGTAAAACTAAAGTTGTGGTCAAGGAGCAGCATCTCAAAAAAAGAGAAATAAAGCTATAATATGTAACATACAACTAATTAAAACATATCTATGAACATTATAATCAATTTCTGCCAACAGATCCTCCTGAATGTTACACACTGGACCTTTTAAGCATTTTGAAAGTCATCAGTGTTTTGCTCTCTTCATCGGGTTCAGTTGGCTGTGGCGTTCCAAGGTCGCCGCCATCTGACACCTTCATCATAAAGGGTAAAGTATAATCTTATATACTAACAGCCAAAACTTTATAATATGTTCATTAGCTTGTAGGCCATAGAGCTTTGAAACTTACCCAACACGACCCGCCGGGTTCGGGCCCAAAACTGCTGCTGTAGG